GTGTGTGTGTGTGTGTGTGTGTGGCCAGCTCAGCCCACCAGGAGGCAGGGCTGGCTGGCATGTGGTGCTGGGGGATTGAACCGCGGTCCCTGTGCTTTCTTGCTAAGCTTGTTCTAAGTAGGTGCTTTAGACCACTGAGCCATCTCACCAGCCCCTGTGAAGCTAATTTCAAAGACGGTCTGGACCGCAAACTGGCACCTTTTTTTTTCTTTTTGGCAACTTTTTCTTTTTTCTTTTCCTTCCTTTTCTTTTCTTCTGTCTGTCTGTCTGTCTGTCTGTCTGTCTGTCTGTCTGTCTGTCTGTCTTTGTTTGTTTGTTTGTTTGTGGTACCAGGGATTGAGCTCAGGACCTTGCACTTGCTGAGCAAAGTGTTTATTCTACTGAGCTATCCCCCTGGCCCTTTTAAAAAACATTTTTTTTTCTTTTAAAAGTATCTATAACTCAGTCCTCTCTATCACCACCTATGCAATGTTATTTTATCTCACGCCATAATAAATTCTTATTTTGTCCCGTTTTTTTTTTTGTCCAGCTTTTGTACAATGAGTATCATTTTGAAATAATACCTTCACCCCATTTTGTTCCTACTCAGGACTGTCATGTTCAGCATTATTTCTAAAACTCAAACCTAATCCTCCTTCAGAGACTCATAGTTTTGAGCAGTCTTTGGAGTTGGAGTTTGAATTGAGAATTTTTTTTTTTTTCCTGGAGACAGGGTCCTACAATGTAGTTCATTCTGGGCTTGAACTCACTATACAGCACAGGGTGGCCTTGAACTCATGGAGATCCTCCTGCCTCAGCCTCCCAAATGCTGGCATTGTAGGGGTGTACCCGTGCTCCTGCCTAAAGTGATAGTTTTCCAGTCACTCTTTTTATGCTGTTTTCCTTCAACATTTGTGATTGTCATACTTCGTTAGATGTTGCCACACTGCGATAAACTGACTTTGCTTTATACATTTCATGGTCTATTATAGAGAACAGCTGTGTAAATATAATTACGATATAAGATGAATGTTTTCGTAGTACAGTATATACAATTGTATAGTATACGTTGGAGATAAGAGACATATACATTGGGAATCTGTGAAGGTTACCTCAAGTTTTGAGTGACTCAGTACCACTCTGCCTCACCCAGGGTAATTCCTATTCAGGCAGCTTTCGTTTGTCTTAGCAATTGTTGGATGTGTAGCAGCGTCCCTGGCCCTCATCTGCTAGATCCGTGGCATTCTCACCTAAGTCATGATGACAAAAGTGTGTTGGCAAACTGCCAGGTGTGCCCGTGCACATCCACCCCCACTGTTGCTGATCTGGTCTGAAGGGAAAATGGGATGAAGCAGAATAATTCCTTTAAGGAACTTCTGGTTCTCAGTCTAGTGGCCAGTAGCTGTTTCGTGTCTTCATTTGGTTTGTGGCGATTTGATGTAATTTAATTGTTTACCATTTATTTGTATGTTTAGTTCAAATTTCTAGGTTTTTCTGCTTTATATTTAGGGTCTCAGTACAGGTGCCATCCTTTTAGAAGCGACCTTGTTCTTCCTTTCCTGCCAAGAGCTCGGGAAGAGAGGACTTTGATGGGACAGAATTGCACAGGTAGGATCAGAGATCACAGGGACACCTAGTACATACTGTAGCACGTAATGAGAAAAACAGCACAGTTGCCTTATTAAGCTTGATCAGTGCCAGCTGTGCTGTGCTGGAGCCAGGCATTCCCCAGGGCCCTACTTAAGACCAGAACTAAATAATTCAGTGCGTGCATTTAGATCAGAAATTCCTTTTCCAGACTTGAGGTCAGTGCTGGTGATCATGCATAGTCTGTGGTGTCTTGTGAGTAGGGAGTATTTCTTACTCCTAAAGATCAGAGTTCCACTCCATACTGCATTAGTTTGATTTAAGCAAAACTTTGACAAAATCTACAGAAAAGCTATTATTTTTTGCTTTAAAAAAATAGATAAGGTAAGATTGGGCATGGTGGCATGAGCCTGTGGTCCCAGCTCTTGGGTCACTATGAGTCCGATCTAGTAGTGAGACCCAGAACACTATGTAGACTCTTCCCTAAAAATAAAAAAAAATAAAAAAAAGGTAAGATAATAACAAATAGGTAAGGCTTATTTTTACCTAAAGACATTAAGTTTGCTAATTTGAGCCATAGCTGCTTCTGTTTTGTATTCTGAATTATCTCTGGATAACAGCTTGGAGAAGAGCTGGGTGTGGCAGTGCATGCCTGTAATCCCAGCACTTGGGAGGCCGAGGCAGGAGGATTTTGTGAGTTCGAGGCCAGCCTGAACTGCATAGGAAAGCTCTGAAAGAAAAAAAAAAGTTTGGAGAAAAGCTGTAATGTTAGAAGATACAGTCATCAACTGTAGTTGAAAAAATAGCAAATCACAACAACTTAATGAGACAGTATAGCAAAGCCTGCTGTTCAGTCTGTAGGAAGATGTCTGATCTTTGCTCTGTGCAACCAACAAGAGAGGTCCTTCGTATTTTCCCGTGTTCCTGACATCACCTTACCTGTTCCCTGTGCCCTAGGTGGTGTGGATGGTGCTGTCGGTGGTAATGACTCTCTGCAGTCCTTGTTCTCACATTGGGACAACCCGGTATTTTCCCGTTACCCAGAGGTAGGTTTGCAGCAATTTTTATTATTTTAAAATTTGAGCTTCGTTCAGATAGAACCTGTTGTAATTGTGACTGAAATCAGGCATGTTCTCAAGCAGCCTGTCTGGAAGCTTATGCTTAATGTGCAGAGAAGGAGTGAACATTTTAGGCGTTTGGATTGAATATGTACATTGAGTGTGTGGGGAGAGGGTGCCTTTGCCCTGACTCTCGCTTCAGTAAGGTGTTCAGCGTGATGCTAATGAAGCTGCCTGTCAGACCGCGTGGCGACCTCCGCAGCAGCAGCTCAGTCTTGGGCCTGCGCCCTGCTCAGCGCTGCCAGAGTGCTTGCGCGGCAGGGCGGCCCCGCGGAAGCTGGAAGCTGCGCGGCTGCTGCCGAAATGCCTCTCGCAGTCGGGTGTGTGCCAGAGGGAAGTGGGGCCAAAGCAGCGTCACTTCTTGTCAATAATTTTGTTTATAAGCAAAAATTGTTAGGACAAAGTTTAGAGCCTTTTCAATCTTTATGTTCCCCAAATTCAACCCACCTTTACTAGGTTATATGAAAAAATATTTGGAACAATTCTGAGGTCCTTGCTAAAACAGCTTGCAGATGGTAAAATTTAAAACTTAAAAATATGTTTTGCTGGGTCTTTCTAGGTTGCTGTTGATGTACGCAGTGGCCAAGCTGAGAGCTTAGCAGTTAAAATTCACAACATCTTATATCCCTATCGTTTCACCAAAGAAATGATTCACTCAATGCAGGTAAGCTTGACTTTGAAATCTGTGAAACCAAAGCTAGACTTTTTTTTTAAGATTTACTTACTTGGCACAGGGTCTCACTACGCAGCTTGGCATGGGGCAGGCGCAACGTGGTACAAGGCTCAAACCCAGGTCCTTGGGCCAGCAAGATAGCTCAGCAGTCTAAAGCATCTGCTTAGGCAAGTTAATGCAAAGCACAGGGACTGAGGTTTGATCCCAGCACTGCATGCCATGCCAGCCCTGCCCCCAGGGTGGGCTGAGCCAGCCACAAAAACACAACAAAACAAACCCAGGACCTTGTGCTTGCCAGGCAGGTGCCTAGACCACAGAGATGTCTCGCAGGCCTAGACTTACTCTTACGGAATTGGATTTATTTAGCGACAAAGACCACATTAATCAAGGATTGCAGGGTTTTTTGTTTTGTTTTGTTTTTTAACCTGGTGGAATGTTTATCATCTGAAGAAAAAAGAAGGGATTAAGAATAATTGAAGAGGGCTGGAGAGATGGCTCAGTGGTCTAAAGCACCTACTTGGAACAAGCTTGGCAAGGCATCAGGGACCGCGGTTCGATCCCTCAGCACCACATGCCAGCCAGCCCCGCCCCCTGGTGGGCTGAGCTGGCCACACACACACACCACTCTCTCTCT